GAGTTGTTGGAGGTGGGGTGCAAGAAAGGTCAGGAGGAGAAAGTAAAGTATCCAAAGTTTGGATTGTATTTGTTTATTTATTTATTTTAATTTAAGAAAATAAACTGCAATGACAATGACAAAAGTTCCAATTACCCCTAATAAAGGAGTCATTTCTCTTTTCTTTTTCTTACTTTGAGTCAACTCCAGGGTCCCTGGTGATGATGCACCATGTCAGCTACTCTAATTAAAATGGCAAGACATTAAATCAGCACAAGAAAGGACTTTCGTGGAGTTAGTGAATTGACAAGCATCACTCTGCAACCAGATTATTACCAGCCTTGGTGCAAAGAAGGAGAAAACTGCATTGGAGCCAGGCATAAGCAAGAGGCATAAAACTTTAAAAAAATATTCAGGAACCTGCTAATAAGGTAGGAAAGACAAGCATTAGGGGGAAAAAGACCTCCCTCTTTCTGCAGCAGTAAAATGATGATTTCTCACAGATGTAGCACTAAACCATACATTAGATTAGATTAGCCCAGTTCAATCAGTGGAAGGACAGGCATTGATTACCCTGAGACAAGTGTTGAATGAGCAGTGATACCCAGATGGATGTTCAAAGAATAGAGCACCAACACCCTCTGTCTGTATATTCTCCCTGTATATGTAGCCCTCAGAGCACCTTGTTAACATGAAGCTCTCAGATTGTCCTGTTGGGAGCAGACACCAGCAAGAAACAAACCTGCATCATTATTTGTTCCTTCATTAGAGGTTCTTAAACCACTGTTAATGAATCCTTAATTTGGCTTTCTGTTATTATGGCAAGTAGTGGTAATGGCTCAAATTAATGTTCCCAAACACACATCTAATTAAGTGAGAAGCCAAACTGTTCTTCATTAGTGAGATAAGGAGTGACTGAGGCAATAAGCCACCTCAAAGCAAGTCATAATCCTTTAATTAACTTGCAGGAGAACATATAGGAGAAAGCCACCACTATTCAGATATTCAATGTAAAAAAAATTAGAAATAAAAAAATCCACATTTTAGGAATGAATCCAGGCTGCTACCAGTTCAAAATTACAAGCACAGGAGGAATGGGAAAAGAGGATAACTTCATTTTCCCTTTAAAAATAGACATAATTCCTTTTGCATGGTTTGAATAAAACCACTAAGAAAAAAAAAAATATAAGTCACAAAAAAAGAAAAATAAAAAAAAAGCCCATAACTACTAGGTTTCAGAAATGCTTTTTGTTGACTCTCATTTAGCCAAAATGGACAAACACTTTTAGCAATTTTTTATTTATGAAAACTAAAGCTGCCACATGTTATGTACATTGTCAGGAGATGAGGCAAAAAAGGCAATGCACGATTTGCCTGGATAATTCACAGACTGCTGTATCCTTCCCCTAATCTGGTCTTCTCCCCCTTCAAACCAACAAAGAAACAGATTGCAAAGCACTTTCACACAGCAAAGAAGACAAGGTTATTCTTGGAGAAATCCATGAACCTTTATGCCTACTGGAATTTAAAAATACAGAAATCACTATAAAACTTTATTATATGCTTTATCAGTCCATCAAGTAATACACAGAGAAATATTTCATCTGAATATTTTATTAGAATTTATCAGAATAAGATAAACAAGCAGTCTTTTGTGGAGGAAAGCCAGTCCTACAACAGGCTTCCTCCCTGGAGATCTGTCCCCTTAGAAAAGACAAAACTACTTAGTCATGGTGACTGTGGACCCCTTCCTGCTTCGGGACCACATGTTATCTCCCTGTAAACTATTGGTCATTTTACCCCAGTCTTAAACCATTGGTCTTCTTCCCAATTCTCCCCTTCCCTATAAAAACCCCAGCTTTTGCCCCGTTCAGGGGAAGTTCGTCACAAGCTCCCTTCACTGAAGCCCCATTAAAGAACTCCGCAGAATGTTACACGGCCTCCTGTCTCTCATCCACACATCGGCTGAGGTAATCCAGGAGCAGAGCTGGTCTGATCTAAGCAGATCACAAAGCTGAAATCACTTCTAAAAGAGCTGGTCACTTGTAGCTTCGGATCGCTCACAGGGGTTACCACTCAGCTGGAAACTGCCGAGACCCCTAGACAGCCATTCCTTCCAGGACCACTATTTGGGATAGTCGGTAGCAGTGCTGGGGGTCAGACAGACCTCTGGACCAGCCAACAACAGTCTCTCATTTCCGTGAGCTTACTGAGGAGCTAATGCCCTGTGAGTAATCCTTCACTGGTGTCACGTAATTGTAAAAGTTAATTCTGCCCTGCCATATGGGCTGGCTTTTTTATAAGAAAACAAATTAATTCCCAAGAAGGTTTCAGATTGCAATAGAACTCACTTATTTTTATCTTCCAGGTCACATACAATATGAAGAACATTTCCTGGGGCAAATTTTAAAGATACAGTCACATGCAACTTTACATGGATGCATCCATGTAAATCCATGGTTGCATGGATTGTGTGATTAATGTGAAGGCACATACTAGTGTTGGATCCTTTATGGATTGCTGCTGATAGCATAAGGAAACTGAAACAAGGTTACAAGACTCCAGCTGAATCAACTCAATGACTACAGGAGAACTGGATGTCTTACAGAACAAAAAAAAAATTATCAACCAGTTATAACCTTCTCACAAGGAGTGGAAGACAAGCTGCAGAAGCTGAGGGCAGGGATAGGGGCCGGATACAATTGTAAACCATCTATTTTTGCACAGCAACAGAATGCCCACAGACATCAGAAAACCACCTTTATTTCCCAAACTGGACAAGGAAGACTAATCTTAGCAATATAGGATTAACTTCCCACTTATTGCCTTCTATGGCTAATACTACAGAATAATGTCCCTTGCATATTTTTAGAGATCACTAGATCAAAATTATTTCTGTTCTTAATTTGTTTGCCTCAGCAAAATGTGATAAAACTTGTTTCTTGACTAAATTACTCATGGCCAACTTAAAATATCTGGTTTTCTGTCAACACTGCTGTTCCATTTAAACTGCTACATCCTTTTGTAGATGTACCTGTGGATGGCTTTATGGGCAGGTGCTGTGCACACGCTCAGCTCTTGTTATCCTGCACTACAATTCCAACTCTCTTCTCATCTGCCTTTTAGCAGTCCTTCCTTACATTTCTAACTAATTTCATTAAACCTTGTTTATGTGTCCTGGGTTGCAGTATATTCTATCACCATCCTCATGTACTGTTGAAACCAGGTGAGGCAGTGCTCCCTNAGCTATGGTGAAAGCCTCTCATAGATAGCACTTTCACTGTGTGCCTTTTCTTTAAGATGTGAAAACATGGTTTATTAGCTTGTGAAACATCTGCATGTTTTTACAAAAGCTGGCTAATGCAAAAAAAAAATCAAATCAAACAACATAAGTAGAAGCATTAAATGAGGTCTTTTTTTACATTATTACTATGACAAAAACTGTGTGAAGAAAATGTTAAAAGAAAATTTCTTCTGTCCGTACATGAAATGCTGAAGTATTCAGTCCCTTGCCAAACAAATGCAAACTAGCACACAGAGTATCAACGAGTTAAACCACAGCAAGCTTTATTTCTTCCCTGAAATTCCATCAGTCTGTTCTGCAAGGATTTAATACAGCTTTTGCTTTGCTTCCTACTTTTGTTCCTGCCTCTTTCAACCATAAAACCAGATTACAAGACAAGACCTGAATATGTTGTTTAGTAGTTTCAAAATCCTAAACAATTCATCCTACAAATTAAAACAAAGTCTTCAGTCACCTCACAGCTGATTTGGAGCTGCCAAAACTGGCATATCCAAGGATACATCTTTTTGGATAATGGCTATCCTGAGGCACTCTAACAGAACTGTAAGTTCTGTTAGAACTGTAACAGTAGAGGGAAAGAAGAGAAAGAGAAGATCTGGGAAGGAAAAATATGAAGGAGTCATAATGGTGGGCTTGGAAATAAGGGGAAAATTTAATACTAGATGTAGGGATAGTAAAGACATGCTGGTGGAAAAAAAAAAAGAACACTTTTGATTTAGATACGCAAATTCTCTAAAGATATGTTGAAGAATGCTAGAAATATAGAGGTAAACCAGTGGTGCTACAACACTGAAGACAAAATAAGAAACTTCACCAAAAGTCAATTTGAGAAGACTGTTTAAAGGCCTAAGACTGAAACCCAGTTACCTACTATAACATCACTGATATGATTTCTGGGCTCAGTTTGTATTTTTTTTCTGATTGAAGTGAGAAGAGGTCAGCACAATTATAAACTTCTTAAACCTACAGATTTCTCCCTCCTTAGTGAATTCAGCCTACTGATATATGTCCTAACAGAAGAAAATCATGAACTTCGATGTATGAATTAGCAGCATAAACTACAATGGTGGCACCATCAGAGACCTCTGAATGCAACCTCTCAAAAAGAATCTCTAGGACCTAAATTATTTGTCAGGATATCAAACATGGCATAGAAAATGATATTAAGATATTAAAGGTTCTTGTTGTGTGACAGCTTTAAACATGAGCAACAAAATTTAATATTTATTAATATTGAAATTTTGATTAAATATAAGCTAACATGAGATCTTCTTTCTAGTAGTCTAGGAAGGCAGATAAAATCTGAAAGCTTAATTAAAGCATATACAAGTTGTTTTACAAATTACAAGGTCAGTCTTACCTGAAATGATTTTACTTTTCTATATTCAGCTGTATAATATTACTTCATTAATTAATAGGGACAGTACTGACTCTAAAGGTAGTTAATTTTAAATTGTATTAATGAAGACTATGAAAATCTACTCTAACAAAATCAGAGCAGACAAAGGCAGCATCAGATCTCTATGGCCTGGGACAAAGGCTAATCTGGAATTAAAAGGGATAATATGACCTATATAATAAGGGGCCAAAAAAAGGACAAAAACAGATGCATATTTATATGTAGCTATGAAGGTTTTGAATATTTTGATTATCTGCTTTAAAACATCTGGTTACCTACATCTTGCAGTGGAACTAAGTAAACAGAAATTAAACATACCTGTAGTAGAGAGAGATCTTCAAGCTTCAGTCTGAAGAGGTAGTTTCTAGGGTTTAAAAAATAGCAAATAAAAATGAATTATTACTAATGTTTAAGTAAGAAAACAAAATGTTACTACTATTTAAATAAAAACATGATTAATGACTACAAAGGCAGAAAAAATTTAGAAGTGACAGTTATTCAGGACTTCAAATTCTTTCAGAGCCTGTCTTAATATATATGCCTTTGGGATAAGGACTAAGCTAATTTCTAAAACAGATTTTCAGTCTGAGGGACTGGCTGAACGTGAATGCAGTAGGTATATGTACATCTGATTCATTGCTCCAGTATTCCTTTAGAACCAATGGGAAGGAATACTCAGTGCTTTTGGCAGATTCATGTCACCAGCATTGGATGCCTACATCAGAATATATGGACAGGCAGACTGAAGCTCTCAATTTCTCCCCACAAAGAAGGGAACCTCATGCAATTAGCTCAGCCACATATATGTAAAGTTTGAAGCACAGGATCCCAATATGATCCTGTATGATGGTGAATCAGCACAAGTCCCTGAGTTTTCACAATTTTGAGAGAAGTCTTGCCCTATGCGGCCTAATTTCTTTGAAGCCTATGATTTTTTTTCCCCCGCAGACAGAAGGAGCCAACCAACCAAGCAGTTTTCAAAAGCCTGTGCATTTATTGCAAAAATATTTCTCACTGTGTTTTCTCTACAGCAGCACCTACAGACCTTGGGAGGAGCCCAGGCAAACTACAAGCAAAACATACTCCTTCCCCACCACTGTTTTCTTTCTTTCTTAGTTGTTATCACACCTCTTTTTCTTCTTTTCATGATTCATTTCTTTCTACTGCATCTTCACAAATATAACACCCCCAGTACTCTTCTGCCTGTATTTTACCTTACGTAAAACAATTCTGATTCTCCAATGCTACTAGAGTGATTATGTTTTAGAGATGAAAATAAAAAGGATTTTACAATAATAATATAAATTACTTCAATCTTCATTTATTAAGATTGAATCTTAATATATCCATAACAATCTTAATTTATTCATAACAAATATGTAACAGTAATTTATAAGATTTTTTAAAAATCAATTAAAGTAGCAAAAAAACTCAGATGATAAAGAGATGGGTAAATTTACATTTGAACTTTAAATATTTGCAATATTTATGAATTACTGCAGTATTACACCCATGTAGCTTAGAGATGTGTAATGAAAATTAAAATTAGGCCAAATTTTTTGAGATAAAAATTGTAATTCTTTCCAAAGAGGTATGAGGTATTGTTAATGGGCACAGATGGTCAGAACCTATACTTTACATCTCTATTTTTTTTTATTTTTTATTTTTTTAATGAGACAGCAGGGAAGGGGAAAAAACAAAAATAAATTGTGTCTAACTCAGAAACAGCCATGAGTATTTATTTATTGGCCCTGGTATATATATGGTCTACTTAAATTGCGCTGTGCAGGAACCATATCACTAGTCTTTCCTAGGAGTACTGCTAAAAAGAGTTACTCAAAATGCAGGAGGCAGGTTATAAAGGGCAAGAATTCATGTGAAAATAAAATAAAGACAGAATATTTTTTATTATACTGCTAAATCACCACAAAGAAATAAGCTAAAATACTTGGGTTTGTGTCATGGAGAGACCTGAAGTGGATAAACAGAGAAAAGAGTACTTTGCAGAACAAAGTGTACACAAAGCTTCACCAACAAGTTACATGCAAGTGGACTTGAAAGACTTTCATCAAAACACCAAGAAGCAATGCATTATAGTCTTTCTATAAAGTCTTCTACACTTCCTCTCTAAGGACAAAAAATACCTCCATTTCTGCACAGTGTCTTGCCCAGAAGTATTCAGCAGGGAGCACAAATACTTGGACTGCTCCTCATCTTGGTGAATTTAAGCTTCCATCACCCATCATTGTACATCTTTCACTCCAGTAACAAAGAAACAAACTTCACTGCTGTAGCAAAACA